CCGGGGTCCACGGGAGTTCCCGGCGCGTTGAGCTGCGTGTCCACGGGTCTCGGGTCGCCGCTCGCCGGCGCTGCCGGGTGGGCGCAGCTTTTCCACGTCAGCGGCTCTTCCTTCTGGAAGTGCGCGTGGGCCCCTCCGGAGCTCCCGCCTCTCTGCGCACGTCTGCCTTCACGACGGCGCGTGGCCCTGGCGGGCAGCGGGTGCCCACCCTGTCGGTGCCCGGCGACGGTAGCAGACAAGGACGCTTGGGGATGAGCTGAGACGAAGCGGCCCATTCTGGGGAGAAGCAGAAACCCAGGAACCACTGTGCCGCCTCGGAGCAGCCGGCGCGTGGCTCGCCTGGCGTGGTCTTACTAGACGACGCTGTGCCGTTGGTGACATTTTCCAGAAAACGAGCGGCCAGGCAGCCTGCTCCCCCGAGTGGAGGGACATCAGCCTGGCTCTCCTGGGCGGAGGCAGGAAGGGGGACCTGGCTCATTCTCTCTTTTACCACAGATTGGAAAGCACTGGACACAGCGCCAGCCGGACCCAGCGGTGTCGGAAAGGACACGGCTGCAGCTGAGCGACTGAGCCCCAAGTGACGACGAGGTTGTGGGGAGACCAGAACCCGTCAGGGCTGCGGGGCGTCTGAGGAAAGCTGGCTTTTTCCTATGAAACTAAACATGTAACGTCCCATGACCCACAATTCCCACTGCAAGATGACTGCCCAAGAGGTCAGAAAGGATGTCCAGTGCCTTGCACAGCAGTGTCTGTGGTGGTTTAGTCATAGGAGCGAGAAAATGAGACCATCGCACCATGAAGAGGAGAACATGGCGCCCGTGGGAGAAGCGTCTGACAGCGGTGCCTTCGTCAGCGGAGCAGCGGCCAGCAAGAAAGCAAGGGGCCGCAAGCCCCCAAGGCACGAGAAAGCCCCCCGCTCATGTGAGTATGTCCAGAGGCTGGACGCAGAGGCCCGGAGCCATAGCCCTGGCTTGGGGGAGGCTGGGGAGCAGCCAGGCCCCTGTACAGGGCAGGAAACCCCGGGCCACGTGAGCCTCTGGACAGCCGGGCGGGCACCTGCACCTCCCTGGGCCCCAGTCACAAACTCCAAGGCACAGGCGGTGTCCGTGAGGCCTAGCTCAAGGGCCTGCGCAGCACCCACGGGGCCGGCTAGGGACAGACGGGCACGGCGGCGGGGAAGGCAGCGGGGCGGCTTAGCTCGAAGGGCAGATGCGTGGCAGAGGGCGGCGCGCGCAGACGTGGCGAGCACGGCGGGAAACGCGAGTGTGGACGCGTGCCCCCACAGCCGCGCCGGTGTCACTGTCCCCGAGTGGTGGTGACCGGCGGTGCGAAAGCGTCGTAATAAGGTGTGGGCAAGGGCGCGTCGCCGCTGACCGCTGGCCACCCAGGAGCGCAGAGACGGCTTCGTTTCGGAAAGGGGGTTCGCTCACGTGACGGCGGCGGGCACACGGCGGCGCTGGGCCGCCTTCCGCAAGGTCCTCGGGAGACCGGGGAGCCCGGCGGCTCCCACAGCA